GGGGGGGGGGGCATGTTTTTGCTACATTGTGGGAAATATTTTCCAGAAAAAGGCAGCCTTGTGGGTACCGGGCATTGGTCCCCACATGTACAGACACTAATTTTGCGTGTGTGTTTAGGTTTAGGACCAATGTGTGAACTGAGTTCAGGTTAGTTATAGGGTCAGGTACCTGTGAGGTTAATTTTATGGTAAATGATCAGGGTTAGGCTCTAAAATTACCAGAAAATGAATGGAAGTCAATCCACGGTCCCCACGGGGATATAAAAACAAACCTGTTTTTGTGTGTCTCTCTGTGTGTGTGGACAGGCTGCCTTGTAACAATAAAGCTTTTGTGCTAAGCATTAATTAGGATATTTTCTCATGCTTGACCTCGATCGCTCCCCTTTCCCAAACTTTTGTTATTCTCGTGAAAAGGATGTTTGTTCATGAGGCCACTGTGTTGGGATGATAACTTTAAAAAGCAAAAACCAAGAAATGAAAATAAAGATACAGTAAAAAAAAAAAAACCTAACTCTAATGAAATGTTAAAAAGTAAAAGCATGACGGACAGAATATATTTCTAACGTTCATTTCTTTGTTGTATTATTTTCCTCAGAGTAGATTCTAAAGTTAAGCTTTTTTAAATTGCAAATTAAAATTAGCTTCAAACTAAAAGCTTTGCAGACAAGAAGTTTTATTAATGGACATAAACAGGGGGAGCAGTACAGCAGAGGCTGTAATCAGGAGGTCACAGGTTTGAAACCCCACATCGACAGGAAAAAATTGTTTGAGTAATATGAAGCATCCAAATCTGCCTCCTCCCTTTTTGTCCCTCAAACCTTCTACTCCTCATTGTATAAAAACACTTAACAAATAACACTTTGACTTTTACACTTTTATGTTATAAATTAAGAGCACTTTTGGTTCACAAACTTGCAGTCTGGTGGATTTTAAATTAAAATTTGTTGCAGCGTGAATTTGTTTTTATGTTCCTCTTTCTGCTGCTCCACAGGACGAGTTCCCGACTCCAGATGAGTTCCCAGTAGTTGATGAATTTCCATCAGTGTTAAAGTGGAGGAGGAAACCCTCTGGGGTGTCTGTGTCCTCCTCCCTTCCTGATCTCCTGGGAACCTCCACCAGTGGCCTCGGAGCTGCAGACACCCCCTTCAAGGCAGAGCAGCCGCTGGAAGGTACTTAAATGGCGATGATGGAGAGTCACTGTGCCAGCATAAAGTCTGGAGAAGACGCTCAGAACTCACCTAAACCCACTCTGACATTATCTGAAAGGTTCACACTGGGATCAACCAAATTAATGAGTTTCAGTAGAACCAGTTCTTTAGTAACTCTAGTTACACATACACTCACTTCACCCTCTTAGAATAAGAACACACAGTGTGATTACCCGTCCTCGTGTTTATTCACAGCACAGTTAATAAAGTTTTCAGTCTCAGGATCTGTCCGTGTCCTGATTGGCTGAAAAAGAGGACCAACGCTCTGCCTGCCAACAAGTAAATCTTGGGTTTTGTAATGTAATTTGTGATGGAAAAACTGCTGCCAAAAGGAGAGGTTGATCAGGAGAAGCAGTTTGTTGTTTGGCGTAAATAAAAAAGGAAGTCAGAGAGGACAGAATTAGCGCAGAGACAGCAGAGTGAATGTTTGTTGATATTAAATCAAACTGATGTCATTTAGTCCAGTCCACTGTCTCTGCTTGTTTCTGTTGTGGATCTTTTGTTCTACTAAATGAGTAATCTCATGTAGTGTTATTTGTCTCTTTTGTAATGATACATTCCATCCATCCATCCATCCATCCATCCATCCATCCATCCATCCATCCATCATCTGCCACTTGTTCTTGATCAGCAGCTTGAACAAGGAGGTCCAGACCCCTCTCTCTCTCTCTCTCTCTCTCTCTCTTTCTCAGCTCTTCTGAGTGAACTCACAGGCCAATCGAGACACGTAGTAGTCTCTCTGTCACATGACTTGTCTGCTCGACAAGCTATGACGTTGGTAAAAACACCAATTTTTTTTAACAATTCCTCTCACTTTCCAAGTCTGCCAAAGACCCTGACCCTCCAGACAACCTTTCAACTGAACTTTCCTGTGATTCCTGAAATCTCATGTGTCAATATTCGCTCTAGGGATCTCTTTTTTCTGATACGGTAATAATACTGACTCTCGTTGTCCGATCATTCGAAGGAGTGGTAGATAATATATGATATGCATGATGTCACGAGTGAAAGTCCCCTTTGGACATGTCTGGAACACCTCGTTAGAGGGGCCAGCGGGGCATCCTTCCCAGGTGCCTGAACCACCTCAGAGGTCTCCTCTTGATGTGGAGGAGCAGCGGCTCTACTCTGAGCCCCTCAGACAACTGGACTTCTCAGAGGCCAGCTACCCTGCATGTATGTGAGATCTCCTTCTTTCAGTCAGTACTCAAAGTTTGCGACCGTAGGGAGGTGGAGCGACTGGTACTTTACTGGCACAGCTGCTGAAGCTGCTCTGATCTGTTTCACTCCAGTCTTCCCTCACTTGTAAACAAAACCCTGAGATACTTCATAAACTTCTCCACTTGATGAAGCACCTCACTCCCAARCTGGGGAGATCCATCCACCTTTTTCAACTGTTTTTTTATACTGTAGCCAAGAACTGGAAAAACCTTTATGACACCGTAAAGATAAGCTTTTCACTGTTTTTTTTWAACGTTAGATAATTTATTTTGCCCAGACTTTGTTGTTTCTCCTGCGTGGCTGGAAAGAGAGGGTGAGGAGAGTTTTCATTTGGTTGTAGTCTGATGACTCACCACTAGAKGTCACTACTTCCTACAAGAAACTCTGTTTAAAACTACAGTACAAACATAATACTACATTATTCAAGGGTAGCTTTTTAAGGTATGTTTTAAATACTTGCTCATTATTTTTCATGTTGCTTGTAAAGAGTTCAAATAAAAGCAGAACAACTGTATGAGCTGCAGCTACACTCACCTCGTTCACAGAAACAGGTGCGTCAGCAGCAGTTTTAAAAGTGAAACAGGCAGCAAAGTCTGGTAGTACGTGTTTGTGTTAATGTGTGTATGCGTGTGTGTGTGTGTGTGTGTTTCAGAGCGAGGTCTGCAGACAGACAGGGGTCTTTTATCAGAGCCAGTGGCTGAGTTGGGCCAGATGGAGTACCAGCTGCTCAAGGTCTTCACCCTGCTGTGAGTGTACAAAGAAACCAACAGCACCACCTTCACCTCCATCAACAGCTGACTCACAACTCCACACACACACACACACACACACACACACACACACAC